ACATCACGCTTCGCGCGCGTGTGAATGTCGTTTTACTTTCCTAGCGGCTTATAAATACCTGCGACTCTGAATGAAATATATAGAAAAATCCGGCAGGGTGTTACGAAAAAGTGTCTGGAATACCAACGATGTACATTCGACGCCATGCTGCCGCGCCATGTCCTCGATTACGGGGACGTGATTCGGGCTCTCTGGTTGGACCACTCAGGCTCCATGACAGCGACTGATTCGAGTCGCCATCTAGTCGCTAGTTGCCCAAGCTTTTACTTGCGTCCACGTTACACGATGCCAGAGGCAGAGGCAAGTCCCGCTCGTGCCAGGGTGGCACGAATCGATCGCGAGTTTCGAGAGATTTTGAATGAGTGTGTGTTACACATTGATGTGCGAATGTATTCTTGTATGTACGTATATACTGCACCTCGATATTTAAGTTCAAGGACATTTTGGATTTATAGCAGAGTTGCTCTTGACACTAAGTGTTTCCGAGAAATGCACGAACAGATGCAATAACGTTTCTATAAATTATGCTATGCATACATTATATACACGTGTAAAATTTGAATATTCTTGAAATAAATTTAGTCCATGGAGATATATGTACTACTTAGAATATGTTGCTTGACTGTCTATTATGTTTGTGTATGCGCTTGCATGTGTATGATTGCTTGCATGTTTGATTGATAATGAGATATTTTAATAACAAAATATAAAATTATTAAAAATAATATATTAAGTTTAATAATTCCTAAATCTTATAATTAATATTACGTAAAAATAAATGCAAAAAATAATAATAATCTGAATAGGCAAATACGAGTCTTTGGATGTATACATATGTGCTAGAAATATAGTAAATTCATATTCTTTCTCTTTCTTTAAATCCACGAATCTATAAAAAAAATAGATGAAAAGAATAGATTATGAATATTTTTTAACATGTGCAATTAAAGGCTCTTATTTGCTTATCCTATTATTATCTATCTTAAAAAAATAAACTGTGATAGGAAAAAAAGAGAAAAGCTTGTTCTATATATTACATTAAAAAAAATTCCAACTTTTTGAAAATAATTCTTTTGCAGATTTGTTTAGTTAATAAAATAATAAAACATTCTCGCATATTTTACATGTAAATAAAAATTGAGAAAAAAGGAATAAACATGCAAGAATCTTATACACATTTTTTTTCTATACTATATTTACACATTACTCTGGGATGTAATATTATACTTCTGCATAGTTTGCCAAGCTGACTAAAATATTTTGAGGGAGGTAGCGTCCCGATTGTCCGTCTTGAACAAACTCCTGGGCGTGTAATACAAAATGATTACAAATCGTGTAACATGGACGCGCGGATCGATACTAGTCGGTCTCCCCTTCTCCTTTTCTCCCCTATTCCCCCTTATTCGTCCGGTTTCCAGGGATCGGACAGGGTTGTTGGGGCGCGACCGACTGGTCTGGACTGGCTGACCCGTCTCGCCTGGTCTCAACCCACTTCACCCTGATTTTCCCCTGCCTCCTTCCACATTCCACATCCTCCGTTTCTCCCGCAGAATTCTCCGCGGAACGATGAGGGGGGAAAAGGGATTCGTGACTAGTGATTTTCTCCAAGGATGGCGCCACGTGCACCGAGAGCGGACCCGTCTGTCATTTAATCAATAAAAGGGATACAACGTAAAGGGATGTTTTTCATATAATTAATAAAAGGAATTAACGTAGTGATATTTTTAAGAGCGAAAAAATTGTTTACCTTGGAGACTTTTTAGGCGATAATGTTTCAATTTGTACGATTGCGATTGATAAAATATGAGATGTGTAAAAAATATCAGAGGACTAGCTCTTAGATGGAGAGTTTATGAGCGTATTTAAAAAAGATTAAAAGTATCGTCATTTTATCGCAATCATTGATATAATTAGCAGATAATAAATGTAACACAGATATATTCTTTTGCTTAAACGCAAGACCGGGCAGGTTAAAAAAAAAACATACGAAAGAAAAGGAAGGACCCGCCCCACGTCGATGCAGCGGGATGTCTGATTATCATACTTATTACGCCGGCTATAATATACGTTTTGACGTCGAATGCAGCTGATGCTGAATTCCATCGCGAGGCAATGAAAATGGAAAAACAAAAAGGAAGGAAGAGATAGAATGCCAGCTAAAGCATGAAAAAAGGAGGGAGAAAGGAGGAGGACGAAAATCGCCAATGCAGAACGTCGATTAACCGGTTAATTCATTGAAGTGCCTTATTTAATGGCACAAAATCTACCATAATACTCGCACACTCGTTTTCTGTAAAAACGTGGTCGTATAATTCCTACAGCAAGGCTAATAAGAAAAGAAAACAGTACTCTCTGGTAGTGGCTAAAAGAAAGAAGCGATTGATGAAGCGAAAGGAGCGAGAAAGCAGACAGAAATTGATCGTGTTGACAGAAAGAATTAGAGGGCGAAAGCAGAAGGGGATTCTCGAAGCATTCAAATCCTCTATATTTTCTATAAAAACAATTATTAGCGAGAGATTGATAATCTTGATACCATAAAATTTATTCAAAGCAAAGTTCTCTTTCGTTGTTAATTAATTCATTGCTGAATTTTACATAATTATTATCTTTAAGTATCACTGATTGCATTCTAAGAGATCGATCATTTCTCTTCAAATCTTTTATTTTCTTTTCCCCTCGACAGACACACACACGCAGGGACATATATGTATATATTATGGCTTTTCTCTCTCTATCTTTTCTATTATATTTGCATTACATGATGCTATCTCTCTCTTTCTCTTTCCTTCTCCTCTCCTCCCAATCTCTTCTCTCTTTTTCAATCTTATAAATTGCGATATATATATATCCCTCCTTCCTTCTCATACAGCAGAAGTCGTCTTTTTTTGATCAATGAAGTACGCGGATGAGTTCGTCCTTGTCATCTGCATTGTGGAAACAAGAATGTAGTGAAGTCTGGCCAATCAGAGCGAAGCTCTTCTACTGCCGGCCGATCAATGCGAAACTCCACTGTACCGACATGTATCTTTGCTGTTACGTCGAAAGACCCAACCCAACTTCTCGGATCAAGAAAAACGCCATTCGTACATGCAATCTCGTTCTCTTAAAAGATGCAACCGCCATGACATTTTGAAAAATCGGATCTTTTCTCTCGATAGCTTCAGGCAACTCTTGCGAAAAAAATTTCCCATATGTTTATGTAATCTTGCAGTTAAAACTCTCAACATCAATTTATTTTATTTTTATCTGTTTTTTTTTATTACTACATGCTTGTTTCCGCTAAATATATTTATTGCACGTGTATAACTATACATTTATTAATACAGTTTAGAACAAACAAGTGACTATTGCTTGTATTTTTTCATTAAACTGCTAATAACATGTCACAGTTAATAAACAAATATTTTCATAAAATTATAAAGAAATCAATTATAAGAAAATGTTTATTTATTAATACTGTTACGTTTTATTAGCTTAATGAAAAATGCAAACGATAATCATCTTTATTTGTCTCTATTTGAGATTAAATTAATTTCGAATGATTAATTTAATGCAATGGAAATTTTAAGATCGACTCTTTTCTAAAAATTGTCAAGATACAAAATGATTTCAATCTCTCAAACTTCTCCGGATTTCGATTCGGCTTAAATCTGACTTAGTATAATGAACTTTTCTCTCGCGCGCGAGAAGTACTTTCGCGTTTATTACATTAAAAAATTTTTTACTCCTTTCTCGAGTTTTCCCCTTCCTTCCAAAGATCAATCAAGAGAACGATTATTTCTATCTCGTAAAGCAATTTCTAGAAAGTCATCCTTAAAAAGGTATTTTCCAAGAAAATATTCCACAGAGATACTTCGTTCTCTCGGCAATCTACATAGAGATCAACCGTTATTCCCTTTCTTTTTTCTCCCTGCTTCCTCTCTCTTCTCAATCCCTTGACCTACCTATCTAAAAAATATGTAATATTATTATTTTTACGATTGTGAAATTGTTTTAAAACGAATCGAAAATATGTTATATTTAATAAGCAATTTTACATAAATCTCAAGATTTCATTCTTTTTGTTTTATAAAATTTATTTTCATAATTTTTCATTTTTTCTCTCATTTATTATTATTTAAATTTAAAGAAAAAAATGTTTGCTCCAATCACGCGACATTTTTACATTTTATTATTAGAATATTAAAAAAAAATAATATAAATGTAATATTACCGAATTTCTCAAAAATATATAATATTAAAATTAACACTAATAATATTACATATATACAATTCCTATTGCCTGTTAAAATGGCGGACTCCAGTAGAGATCCCACACCCGCAATAAAATATCGCGGTATCGAGCAATGGTGAATCTCGTGTAAGGAAAAAAAAAAGGCGAAAGCTTCACTACGTACATTGTACTAAACATAGATCCACGAGGTTAGTCCGTCAGCTTCTTAGTATTGCTAGAACGTTTCTTTGTTATATGTCTTTCTCCATTACGTCGCCTCATGTTTTATGTTTATCCGGTCCAGCATCGGATCGGCATAAACCGTCAGATTACGCCGAGAATTTTCTACCACGACACGTTGCCAAAATTGAGGTTTCCGAGTTATATATGGACGCTCGGAATTCTCCTACCTTCTCTTCCTCCCCGAACCTCCCCCTACCTTCCACCCCCTCCACACGACTTTGGCTTTTCCATTACATCACGAGGTCAAATAGAAAATTGCGTAGATTCTATGCCACGGATACTCGCAATAATTTTCTCTTTACAATAATTATGAAAGTAATTAAGAATATTACACACACGTGCTTATGTATGTATAAATAAATTGAAAACATTTGTAGCTATAAACTTCAAGAAACTATTGTAAAAATCTAATCGGAATATAATAAATGCTTTAATTTAACGATTAAATTCTTCTTCGTTGATTGAAGAAATTATTAAATGTTTTTTTATCAATAATTTCAATTTATTTTTTCCTCGTCATTATTATTGAAATGTTCCAACTTACCCATAAGATGCTAAGTTACCAAGGCGCACTCCCCAAACCTGCAACAATAAAATAACATTGTTAGTTTGAAATGTTTTGCAATATTATGCAATTATAAAATATAATATCTATTCTACTAATCGATGTATTTTTAAAATTTTATTACATATTCCATTGATTTATTATATCATTTTAAAATCGTATAAAAGTCATAGACTGCTTTTTATCTTAATTTATTTACCAATTACCATCAAAAAGATTTTAATCTAAAAATTTTAATTTTAAATATCAAACATAAATCGTGTATTTTTGAGATTTTTCCTCAACCAAGAGAAACTTACATTAACCTTGTGCATTTTTCAAGTTCACTGTGTACACTACGCTCTACGATAAATTATAAATTAAAGATAAAGATCATTATCGACACAATGAGTTATCACAGATTATCGTAGATTTATCGGCAAAATCGGAGCACGCGTGCTCAAGCCTGATACAAATGCAGGAGTTAGGCTCGGCTCAACTTGTCTGTAAGCTCACGAGACATGATCATCCTTCCCATCTAGTGTGTCATTCGCCCCCACTCGACTACAAAGTGTTTGTGATCGTGATCAGCGGCCTCCCGCTGTTCCCGCGAATCATGTTTTTTCATTCGGTTACCTGGACCCCTCAGTCGCGATGCATTGTAATCGAGCGACATTCTTAAGCCACGGCCAAGGCGGGGCATCATCCTGGTCAAAAGCAGCATTAACCACGTTGTTTCCAGCTCTCGATCGTTCACACAGTATGGATTTGCATCTGTTCATTGCGCTTTTATGCGCAAACTTTGCGGAATCAGATACTACTTTAAAAATTAGATACAAGATACGCGCCGAGTGATGATCTTTCTCCATGTCTTGCCGAGAAAAAAAATAAAAGATCTCCAAGAGAGCTACAGTTGAAAAGATATCTGATGATTTTGCAACACACGTATAGCTATATAGCTGAGACGATCGAAGATTCCGTATATAGATATCCGTATGCGCAGGGCGACTAAAAATTGCTACTTCAGAAAGCATATTGTTCACGTTATTGAGCGCTTCCTCTCAATTGCTTCAAGTAGATGATATCACTCTGCTTGTTATGTACAAGGTGTTTCAATCGAGATAAAAATAGCGTAGGAAAATAATTCGTAAAATCAAGGATTCTCCAAGTCATATTTCGAACTAAAAATAATTGGAAAACTATTTGTGTCTAATTGTATATTTTTTATAAATTTTCTCTAAATTTTTAATTTTTTTCGTATTTGTCGATTTATTAAATATGCAAATTGAATAAATTCAATTACGAGAAGTTTAAATAATTTATGTAATTACTAATTTAAAGTTTAAATGAATAAAGAATTGTTTCTTAATGATAATAGTTGCTAAAAAGAGAAAGAAAAACTAAAACAGCTGAGTCCAAAGGACAATGGCAAGGCAGGCACCGTTACACGACATTACTCACGAACACAATGCGCTCACGTACGAACAACAAGGTAATTTATATGAGACACGTGTTAGACTCTGTCTGAGACGCGCGAATAGTTTGGTTTATTTTAAAACTTTCAATTAAAATTGTTCGCTTAGGCTTTTTGATTTAAAATTATCCATTATGTTATTTCAAAATTTAGAGAGATACATTTAAAATAATTATTTATTTTTGGATCGACGTATCGATATTGATTTTTAATCTCTTTTTTTTATCATAATGTAGTGAACGTAATTTATTGTATAATATTTTAATAATTATTTTATAATATTTTTATAATATTTTGAAATAATTGATGTTTAGAATTTTCGCTTTTACATAACAAGTTTATGTATATATATGGGTACCGATAAAAAGATGAGAAACGAAAAGAAGTGGAAACTCGTTTTAAAAAGAGAGAGAGAGAGAGAGAGAGAGAGAGAGAGAGAGAGAGAGAGAGAGAGAGAAACTTCGCAGCTCTAGATAAAATGAACGAATGAGAATTCACGGTAAATAGGTATTGAAATTGAGATTGGTCTCGCACTATTAATTTCTTCACGTTGGATAACTGAAACGATTCGATCAGATTAGACACACGTGTGCATTCACATTTATTCTGCTAGCTTATGTCTTTCACACGCTCGTATTTTCGCGCTTACAATTGCATCTCGTGTCTTTAGCTGTAACCCTTTCATATGTGAAGGACGCTTGTAATTCATGATACGAGCGAACTATTGGCACTTGCTAAATGTTGAATATTACTTTCTATTAATCTTACTGAATGTTAAAAAGTTGTACATTATAATATCAAACTGAGAATATAAAAAAAAGGGAATATGTAATCAAATAATTTGTTTAATTATAATTTACATAACGCGATAATATTTTTGATTTTTTTCTCTTAAATATATTTCAAATCTAAAGTGATTTAGAATAAAAATATATTAATTAATTTTTTTTCTCTCTTTCTCTTTTTATTTATAACTTGCAATAGTCATTTTTTAAAATTGTGATTATTTGAGAATCTATCTTTTATTTTGAATAAAACTCCAATAAAAATTACTTTGTGATACAGACTTTTATATAATATTCAAGTTCAAATTTTATTGGGTCGCTATTCGCAATTATCGTTATAGTGTCGATAAGAATTAATCTGTACGAACAATTGGATCAAGAACGCAATCATATGATTGCATTTTATGTTATCATCGTGCACCAGTAATTTACGATCAGTGCAATAAATGCATTGTCTTGCTGTTTGTACGCACAAATATAAAAGCTGTCCTATAAATCTAAATCTCAAAATTTCACGTACATATGTATGATGGTGTAATCTAAATATTCATACTTTTAAACTATTTAAAAAACATAGCATATTTTATAAAAGCGAAACAAAAAGAGAGATTTTATATATCTCGAATAAAATGACATATTTTCTAAAAGTTTTAATTTTATTTTATTTCATGAGAATATTCGGTTAAAAAATATATTATACATTTATTTAAAGTTTTATCAACATGTAATGTCTTCCGATGGCTACAAAGTTGTTGAATTTTAATAAATTTTAGAAATTTGGAAACGTCATCCCTCGTTTTATCTCATAAATATCTAATTACTTTTTATTAAATATAATACAGATATTCAATTATGCAAAAATATCATTTTCTCACGTAATTAATGATCGGATAAGCCTTGATTCTTCTTTCGTTACCACTTTAACTCGCGCGTTACAATTGTGAGAAAGATAAAAAACCCGTGTTCTTTCTCTTCCGACGTATCCCGGCGGGAGCTAAGTTTTCTAAGAAACACACACCGCCACTTTGATATACCACTTGACATATTTAGCCCCCGCGGTCGTACCAACGTAGTAACACATACAGGCAATTCTTTTACCGACACGTTTCGCTTTATACCCCTACAAAAGTGCATACGTCGCTTTACAACTTAAGGAGTTTTCCTGAAGACAGCGGTGCACAGAGGAAAGAGCAAGAGAGAGAGATATAGAAAGAGACCCAGTGCCGCAATGTCATAGTACGACTGTATCTAACATAAGTGGACAACTTTCACGCTTGTGAGGGGTACGCGTGAATACGTGAAATCCTAAATGCAAGTTGCATGTGCGAAAAGAAAGAAAAGAAATTGTCCTGCGGGCGAGACAAAACAAACTGACTCTCCTCAGATGCGATGCGATTACTTTCAAGTTTCTATCTTAATCTCATATATATGTATAACAAATTTTCATCTATATGTATAACAAAAATTTAAAATAATAATTTAATAATTGGAGACTTGGTAATCAAATAATATAAAAAATATTTTTAACTATTCTGTTGCATTATTATATTAAAAAATTAAAAAGATTCTTATATTAAAAAATTATTACACTATATTATTATATTAAAAAATTATTATATTATATTAAAAATTATTATATTATTATATTAAAAAATTAAAAAGATTCGTGTTAATTTTTTAAAATAATTTTTTTAAATAATGCAACAGAATAGTTAAAAATATCGGAAATGTTTGGGTGCCCGGTAATTTAAATATTTTTAAATCCCGTTTTGTATTTTCAGGCACGATCGTTCTCTCGGGGAACGCGATGCTGCTTGAAAGAGTATATACGTTTAGAAATAATATCTCGAATATACATGTATTTTCAACGGGTAAATCCTCCTAGCTTTACACGACAGATGCTTTGCATAACCCCGCAACGTGTATAAACCCGCCGCGGGCAAGAAACGTAGCGCACATTCATCCACAAGTGTCTGCTTTACTTTCGGATACGTGTACTGCGATGTGAAGCAGACTAGATGTGCCTCGAGCTGCTTTTACGACGGAAGTTTCGGTTTTTCATGCATTTATCAAAGTGAGACATACGGGGTGTCCTCGTAGGAAAGACAGTTAAAAAACATCGGAAATCATATCCCTATGAAAAAATGTTCGAAAAATAGTATCCGAGGGTCGGAGAGAACGTTAAGATTACATGCCCAATTTTCTCTCATCAAAGTCTCAAAAAATTTTATGTCAAATTAAACGAGCATATATTCGCCTCTTGTCGCATATTACATTATTATTAGTGTTATTTTATCAATTGGAGTTTGCAAAGGTGTAAGTCTTCATGTGATATCTCTTAAAGGTCAGCATGTACAATTTTCGAGACACACCGGATATGTAGAAATGGTTCCTCGCAGTTCGAGCTCTCTTGTACCTTCGACCGTGCACTGTGTCGAGATGCACCCATCAAGGCAACCCAATCGCTTTCCATCCTCTCCCCTCCCTCTCCCTCACCACCTACCCTCTACCGCCGTTTCACCTGCATCTCGCTTCGAAGGTAGCAGCTATCGCGCCGAGAAAACAAAGTAGACGTCGACGGAGGGGAAGTGGAAGGGAAAATCGGGTATAACACAGTCCTGACGAGAGATGGTGTATGGTATAAAGGCGTTCTCTCGGGCGGCCATGGCTGAACTGCAACGCCATGTTTCGCTCCTGCGCGTTGTCGAGGAGCCAAGGGTCCTTTCGGCGTCTCAACCTAACGCGTAGGCCAACAATCGTGGACCGACGAACGCGAGATACACGGTCTGTCCCAAAAAATATCCAAATCATTACTCCATAAACAATGACAACCATTAAAATAACGTGTATAGCTCTTTTCTTTAATATTTTGTTTATAATCATGTAAAGTTTAGTCGCATTGCGTTGCTTTTTCATTTTGTTGTGATAAGAAAAGTGAGAATATTTTATCGAAAAAAAATGATAATGGAGCAAAGAGCAAACGTTAAAAATTTGGTGTAGAATTAAAGAAGCATTTCCCAAGACGCTCAAGATGATTCAATTATGACTACGAAGCAGTTGAGCTTAGTTTAAAGGGTTTAGTATATTTTTAATACTTTTTATTCCCTAAATTTAAATTGAAGCTAAAAGAAGACGTTTTAATATGATTTTTGAAATCCAAAAGGCTTCGACCGATACAATTTCCGCTGTTACAAAAGAAAAATATCAAAAGTATTTTTAGAAATTTTATAATCGCAGCAAAGAATACATTTCTTTAAACGAAATGTTTTTTTAATAATTGTGTACCATTTTTAAATAGATAATTCTAACTGCACCATTTGTAAAATACTAGTTCGAGTACTTTTAGGACAGACTGTAATATGTGACAGTTGCTTAATTTTCTCCTTGTTTATAATTGTAAACGTTATGATTTGTCGCGATTTAAAACGTCAAATAATTATTATTCCCAGAGTAAAACTTTCCGTCGGTCCTTTCTTGTAAAAATATATTTAAAAATATGCAAACTTGATGTTTAAATTCGAGTCGTGATTTAGAATGATTATCATCAATCAATTAGTATTCGAAACGAAATGCTCGCGTCTATCCGTTTCTTCCTTCCAAAATTTAAAAAATATCCAAACCTTTTGTCCACGTTTGAATAATATCGGTACTTGTTTTGACGTAAACACAATATTTCTATCTATGATTTAATCACTTACAAACATGTCACGTGTGCTGTAAATCCTTTATAAGACACATTACGCGGGCATTAAGATTCTGCGATATTTTATTGTGGTATTTTAACTGCTCGCGCCGCGCTTTTATTGTATAGAGCTATGAGATAGCGCAGCAATTATTTATATAAGCGACGCATGATCTATAATTACGAAGATGTATAAAGTTTCGAGTTGCATGCACACATGTGTAGTCGCTTATAGACGCGAGCAACCGTATGCATGAGGTAAGAGACGCAGAAGTGGACGTAAGATGGATACGCGCACGCAATATCTGCATGCAAATGTTGCCGCGACCCTTATCGTAAAATGAAAAATTGTTGCCCACGAAAGTTTCATTAGCGTCTCCCTGCCTCCCCCTCCCCTTATCCGGGAACGTATTTTATATCGAACTGCATCTAACAAGTTTGCGTATTTACATAAAAATGCGAAAAGGCCCGCGTTATCTTACATTTTCGATGCGTCGTATAAAACGACCCAACGTACGATCGTCATTAAAAGTATAATGAGACGAGGATCAAATTGATCTCGTTCGAGTCGCGAGCAACATTTCGCGGATAGCGCGATAATTATGGTCGAGGAAAAACGGGTTTAACGAAGAAAATCGATATCGCGCGATAGGCTCGACCTAGTTCTCGACGAGGGTCCACGATGATCGCCATCTCCATTATTTCCCAACAACAAGATACTTGAAGATACCGGAAACATGTCGCAGAGACCGATGAAAGAAATAACTTGGGCCAGGAATGCTAGACTCATCGTTTGATAATATTGCTCTCCCTCTTGCTCGATGCATTTCGTGCATTTTGGCCCACCCGAATTTCGGGGGTGCGAAAGATCGTTGACGGAGAGACGCGTAGACGCACACTCTGGGCACGCGCGCAATCGTCCGCGACTAGCGGTGGATGGGGGTGGGGGAGGAAGGCGACAACGCGCATGCACGTCGACGTCAAATTTCCGTCGTCGACCGACATTGCATATACGCTTTGTATACGTATAATATATACGTATGATATAGCGCATACAAACTCGTAGCGCGAAATATATTCGCGGACACAACTGCGGCGGGTTATGCAACAACTGCATGAAAGTAAATTGGCGTAATCAGGCGACGGGGATGGCGGCCGCGCGTGGCAATCTCACGCAATATTGCGCATGCAAAGTTTATAAATTCGGAATCCGTCCTCGCGCGCCGTCATTCGCGACACTGTGTGTGTGTACATATGCATATATATATATATATATGCATATGTACACACACACAGTGTGCATATATATATATATATATATATATATATATATATGCGCTATGTACATACATACATATGCTCCGTGTGACACGCACGCATACGCACACATGGCCCGTTTAAATAAGAGGCTAACCGAGTCTATCGATCCCGCGCTACACACAGAGTGCTTTTTCCGCTCCGCGATATAAAATCTGCTTCATCGTGATCCATTTTGTGATCCCGAGTGTTTTCCATTTTATTTTATTTTTTTTTTTAAATACTCTTTGCATTTTAATATTGGGGAAAATTTTGTAAATATTTTCGTTACATTTCCTTACATTTTCATTTATTTTTTTAAATGACAATGTTGATTCAAATAGTATCAAAAAATGATTTGCCTCTAAAATATTTCGACTTATCGTTCATGTAATCGAAACAATTTTTTAAGCGATTTACTTGAAATTTCTTCTATGATTCTTATTGTTTTAATTAAAAGTTTGTATGTTATATATATAGAATTATATATAATATATTAGCTTATCATGATATCCATTTCGGCCAACTAATTCGTGAGTTATCCGTTTCGGCCAACTAATTCGTTTGCATTTATTTTGTTATTAGACAAAACTATCCGTTCCTCTAATTCGTTAAGAATTAATATTACATTTTACATTATCTCTATAAAAATGATCAAATCAAATTATTAAATAGATTAAATAATATATTTTGTAAATTAAAATATATATGTTAGAGATAATTTTGTTGGAGATAGTTTTATTATTAACGTTTGCACTTATGGAGAAAAACTGACAGAAATATTTTTTTATTTAAATGAGATTTTTATATTTACAATATAATGGAAAAATTTTATATGCATTGCGTCAAATTTTCTTATATCAAAAATGAATCGCATCTTATTTCAAGATGGGTTCTAAAGAAAAAACTTATTACAGTCGGATGATTCGGAGGAAATATGCGGACATGGATGAAAGAATCGGATATCTTTCAATACTAGAGATGACTCCAACAACGAAACGTTGGAATCCTATTTTCTCTAAAGATCAGGACATATCCCTTAGATATGTTCCAGCTAGGATCCAATATTATAGTCTCAGAAATATGATATTTCAGAGATGTACAATAAATATAGCTTCTCCCATTCATTGTCGCAAATACAGCAAACATAAGAATAACAGATTGAATAATTGTGAGATTTTTTTATGAGAAATAATATAATTATAAATAAATATAATATATTGATTGCGTTAATATATAATTGTAAAAAATACAGATATTAATTTTATAGCAAATTCAAAGAAATTATCACAAATTGACCAGATTATTAATAGATATATTACAAGATATATTCTTATTAATCATCGTTACTTACACACGTGAATGGTGAAATTTTCGATAAAATTACTGTCTTGGTAAAAATATATTGTGCATCCTTTATATATGTATATGCATATATATATAAGGACTAAGGAAAGCAATAAAATATAAAATGGTTTAAAAGAAAAGATTTACAATCCACGAAATTCCTAGTGAATTTTTTGTTTGCTTTGCCGAGAAGAAGGCAACTATCCCATAAAGCAAAATAAACTTGGACTATTGAAGATGCGGTAGCTTCCGGATAACCAAAGCAAATAGAATAAAAAAAATAACGCAACCCTTTATCTCCCAGGGAGAAGAATACCTGAGACGAGTTGAATCGATGGAAAAAAAATGAAGTAGATTTAACACGATATTCTTTTGGCCACACAAAAAATACCTGCCTTCGATCTTAAAAATATCTTCTCGTTGTGTGTGTTTCGTGCTACTTGATACCGTTAGGTCAATAAACCCTTGCGTCCTCTTTCTCTTGGCGGGCGGAGAAGGGCTACAAAAATTTCACCTCGCAAAAGTCGGTAACGCGTCTCTCTCGAATCTTATTTTATTTCGAAACTTTTGGTACACACTTTCATTGCAGCGAGAAAGCAAGACTTTTCTCGAAACGCGAAAACATTAACATTTAATCTTTAAAGGACTGAACACCAAGAGAGCTTCACATTGCAAGTGTCGCAGCTGAGATTTTTATTTTCCTTGCATCTTGCGTCTCACTGTAAACGTGCAATTTTATCTTTCTACAAAGATCAGACCCACGGTTTATCGACCTCGGTTAAATGTCATTTGATATCTCATTCACTCTTAGGGTTACTCGATATCTTGGTCGATTAAAAAAAGTATTCCGCGCAGTCTCTCCGTAAGTTGAATGAAATTCTTCAAGAAAAATATATTTTATATAACATTCTTACCCGGAAATTGTGAGAAGACGCGTCAAATAATTTGGCTCCGATGTGCTTCGCAATCGTTTGAATAAGTTCATCGCAGTCGAGTGAGAGAAGTCATTAAATTAGGAAAACCTGGATAGATCTGATCCAATATCGATGTCTATCGTCGTCGTCTAAATCATCACTGCGACGGATTGTGTCGAGGCAGTTCTTATATGGAACGCTATTCGGTTATTCTCTTAGTGTAGTTTTATTACAGCCAGATATGCTAGTTATAGACTTTTATATCGCCTTATCGAATGACGATGAGAGCATATTTTCTCGCGGAAAATAATTCCTACGAATTAAGATCATCGACTAATTATATCTGAAGAATGAATTAATTACATATAGAAGGTTTTAGTGATGGAAAATCAATCACGACATTTTTCATTATACGAAACAATCTGTATTAAAAAAATTAGTTGTTAACTTATATACGTCAAGGGTGATTTATCTTAATATCGATATCGTGCATAGTTAAATTTTATTTAATAGATTTCAGTTAATCTTAGTTATGTAATATATCATTTTTTAATTAAATTATTAATTATTTCAACTACGCGCTATAATCAATGAAATAACAATTTATAAATATTTCGAAGGATAATATTAACAATCGCATTAGTTCCTTTCTTAATTTAACATGACTTTGCAAGGTTAAGATTTATTTATGATCAAGTAAAATTTTTAATAACAAAATTTCCGAATATCACAATACAATCACAATTGATCAAAGGTACCGTATCGTATCCAGTGATAACAGGTATAGACCGAGTACATGGTATACATATATGGTTTGATAATCGACAATACCTGTTCTGTCAATTGAAATATAAGAGCGCCTTCGAGTCGCGTGAAGTAATTCCTTATCAAATCGAAAACATAATTTAATTAAATATTTTCAATTGGCTATGTCTAGATGTTCTCCTCACCGTCATTCGTCACCCCCGCCAGCTGTCCTATGCACAAGGATTCGGCGCCATAAATGCCGCTTGTTCATGTATATAATCGACTATTCCCGTTAGAAACACCTACGAGCGGCTTTACGATCGCAATGACCTACTAACCCCGAGATAAGAAAATTGTAGCGCGACCGTATCGATATTTTTTTCGATCTGCAGGTAAATTAATTGCAATTTTTTAATAGCGCGTGTACACAAAGCCGTATTTTTCCGCGCCAGTTATTTCATCGCCGTATCGTACAAACGTCACTCGTCTCTTTTTTTATCGTCGCTATAAATAAACGGAGAAAATTCTCTCTCCCCCGAACAGTCGCGAAGATCGCTGTATGCTTCGTTCCAAGTACTTTCCGAACTTTGCGCAGTAAAAATACGCTGGTCCACGATCGGCTAACCAAAATATCGGAGCCGAACAAAGTAAAGCTCGTAGTCCAGAATAGATCGTAACGAGGACGACGGGACCGATTCGCAAAAATGTATTAGACTCATTTATGTACGAGCAGAAATCGTCCGCGTACTTTGTGGAATTGGGATCCGCGCCCCGTGGATTATTTTATTCTCCCCCTAACTTTCCTCATCTCTTACATGCGCGTCGTCTCTTCTCCAATTTATAAATTGCAAAAATCGCCAGGGACAAAGTGCATCGCGTGGAACGAGCGAAAATAAATTCGCCCCCATTCTCCGAGTGGAACTTTACGGGGAGGGGGAGCAATAAGAAATTCAATTAACATCTCGGACACGCAGTTCGTGCGACGTAAAAGAAACGCACGGTGGATATTTTCGCCGAAGAAATCTTTCATATCTCGTACTTTGTGGAAATTGGGATACCTACTATTCCCCCCTTCTCCCTCCCCCCTCTCCCTTCCTTTATCCTCGCTGTGTCGGCCAGCTGATCTCTCCCCTGCGCCCTTATTCCTCCCGAAAATGGCCGACGTACATTTGCCTCTGCGCGCTCTGTGATCTCCGTGATCTGGAATTGACCTAACATTCCTCTGGGAAATAGGAAGCAATACCTGTCTCTCCAAATACGACTGAGTGGTCGCGCGAGACGAAGAGATAGAAACGGACGAAATGGAACACGCGGAGAGAGAGAGAGAGAGAGAGAGAAAGAGAGGGAGAAGGAGGGAAAATGTACCTTCACCTTTGGAAGACATTTTCGTCCATATTGCTCTAGCAACTCACGGCAAACGGACGTTTCGATACAGAGTACAGTTGTTGTATGAACGACGCGACCGGAATATGCTATGCCATATACGATACATAAGGTAGATACATTTATGTAATGTGACATATACGTATCTTGTGATAGTGATCTCATCTATCTACTTTGTGCTCGCGAAGGTAACGATTATCTGATACGGTAGTAACGTCAGATTTGACATTAATTGATTTTGTCTGATTCACGATATCTTCTTTTTATTTTTTCTTATTTATATCTGCTCTTTCTTTCTCTCTCTATCATAAATTTCTCATTGATTTCTCGTCGCTCATTTTTTCGTAGCTCGAGCTCAATAGCTAAAGTATAGATAAGGTATCATGCTAAAGAATAAATAAAGTATCATGAAAGAATTAACATTATCATTTTTCTTGTCTCTCTCTTGCCTTTTTCGACAAACATGGATAATATAAACTTTTTTCTGCTATTTTTTCCCATAGCTCATGCATTATGTATACCATGTATATAAATGAAAGGACAAAAGTAGAGGCAACAAAAAGCAAGGACTTATAAAATAACGCAGATATCTTTCTTTCATAACGCATCTCTCTCTTAAAGGACTATTCCAAGATAACATTGAGCAATAATTATCTTATCTGTGTGCGAAATAAATAAAATATTTAAATTTTTCGAATGTTAAAATTGTTGCCATTTATAATATATCATTTTTATTAATTTGTGGTATTATGTACGCTGCGAGTCTCATGTCCATATAGATTTATGGCATAAATTTACAATTATTTAATTCTCATTCTACTAATTAGATTACGTGATACGGAAACGAATATGTTTCTTTTCAACAGCTATGTAAGCTACGCGCATATATGATAACTATCAAGAATTCACTGAACCATTTCGCTACGTATGTATTATTAATCTGTTTATATGGGCGGATGAGGTGAAGGAGGAATACGGATCCCCATTGTGTTAGATATCTATCTAACCGCAGGAAAATTTTTTGTTATTCTACGATAGAATAATTGCGCTAATTTGCAAAAAAAACAAAGATAATTATATATATATTTTTTACGTACATATATGTACGTAAATATTATCAGGAAGCTAAATTAATTTGTGTGAATAAAGCGTAAAATATATTTAATATTTCGTTCGGAAGGGCTTCATTTCGTTTAAGGAAAGCAAAAGTAAATAAGTTGAGGTTTCTTTTTCGCTAAACGAAAGAAAGAAAATATTACTCTTGGCCATGTTCGCCACATCTACATCACGAGTTTCACGAGTTAGCTTGTTTACGGACCAATTTCGCACGAATATACAGGCTGCGCGAAAATAGCATTTTCTTTTTCTGGAAGTATAAGCCTTGTGTTTTAACCTTCAACTTCTGAAATGCTTCTTCAAGATTCTTCGTAACAACTATTATGTACAACTGTTACACGTTTACACATTTTATATATTGCAGTCCGAAAAAAATATCTATTCAATTACTTTTACAATTCTGACAGTTTTCTCAAGAGACGTCCATCTTTTACATAGATATAAAAATAATGCTACATATTCTATTAATTTAGAAAAATCAAGTTGTCATTTATGGGATGTGTATAAAATTGTGTGCACATTTTTTTCTGCATTTATGAAATCAATGCACGATGATATTTTCAATGCAAGTATGATGAATGTTTTTATACTCGTATTTTCTTCATTATCTTGGTTCTTCAGATAAATTATTGTTTAATCCTTGACCCATGTTGACTAAATCAAACGTTAAAATAATAAAAGCAAAAAGCGACATGTATAAAGAAATTATATTATCTTCGAATAATATTCTCTCTCTATTTTTCTCCTCTCCCTCTCTTCTCTCTTTTCCTCTCCTCTTTCCTCTTTTAAATATTCTTGGAAATACATTCAGAAAGTTATCATGGATACATACATCGGATACACTAACATGGAGAATACCAATCCCTGCATCGTTGAACATGTTGTTAAAATATCTTCGCGATTGAATTTCCTGGCAATTCTTTCGAGATGATGGGACGTGGTTTCCGCCTGCGCAAGTTTTCAATGTCCAATTTATCGGGACTTCATCCTTTATACGGAAACACGACCATGTCTGTGTTGGCATTCTTATCCTTATTTAGTGGCGAATATACATATTTATAATATTTTTCGTTATTCCCAATCAATAGGTCTTCTCTCAGTTTACGCAGTAAATTGTTACATTTTATATACATGTATATTTATTACTTTTTAATTTTATTTAATTAAAAAATAAAATTAAAATTATTATTAATGAGATATTAAAATTATGTTATTTTGAAACTAATACTGATGGAAAAAGTCAGCAAAATTAAAGCCAATAAAAAATTAACGCCGATTGGTGCGGTATTTCGTTGAATTACATTCCTGCATGAAGCGTAATCAAGAAATTCTCCGTGCCAAGTTCATCTGATTTAGATGCCAGCCGCTCGAGTTTTTATTTCGTACTTCGATCCCGGCTTCACTCCAGCTATCTCTGCCGCATACGTGACGGCACGATGATGAAGAAAAGCATGGACAGGTATACCTTGGCTAGGTATTCGTATGTATGACAGTATCTGTCCGTGTGAGCCCAGCTGCTCTGCACAACGTGTGTCTGTGTCGCGTAGAGGGCGGATATCGGCGTCAGCAGCAGGATCCGTGCTGCCATTTTATCCAAACGTGATCTCAGCCAAATACGAAAATTCGTACGTGGCGACCAACGTGTATACGTGTCGTCATCGGCCAAACTGATATATTTCTCGTCGAACCAAGCGAATGCGCGAGACCAGGCGTGGGCAGGATCAACTCGGAAAATATGACACGTAAGTATGTATCAGTACTTGGACGCCCACGATTGGACCTTCATTTCCTTGCCAAAATCACTAATATATATTTTCTGATTAAAACCTCGTAAATTTGATAATTATCAATATAAATATCAATATAAATTTTGCTATTAAGTCGTGTATTTTTTTCGTGTTTGAATTAATAAATTCTCGAGATGTTACATCAACTTTCGAAATTTCTAATTAATATTCTATAATTAA